GAGAATGAAAGATGCTGCAGTGCTGGAATGGAGGGGAGGGAAGAGCCATGGGCTGCCAGGAAGGTCATCATACCACCTCTTCTATTGCAAGGATTTGCCATTTACATGACTGACACAATCTCTTTCAGATTCTAGGGGCTGAAGGTTTATGCCTTTGCACCTGACCTATAAAGTGTTTGTGTTCTGATTTTTTTCTTCTGGAATGTTGCAGATCATCAGGAAATTTGAGATCAAATATAACCCTCAGGGAGGCAAAGTGAAACCCATGTTGAGAATTGTGCTGGTACCAAGTTCACCCGTCAACCTGGAGTTCCTGGAGAGAGCAACCTGTTAAGATGTCAGCTTCCTCTGCTATGGAAGGGGACTGAGCTCAGACATGCAATACTCCTGATCAAGATCCTAAAAACTGAACTTTCATAGATAACAAATGTGGAATTGAATTGCATAATCGTATGGGGATTTGGGTAGACCCTGCTCAGCCCATTGGCCCACGAAGTTGCTGTGTTGTTTCCAACAGCTGAGGAAATACCTTGTCCTCTTCTTTAAAAGGAAGATGTACTTTATTGTGAATTGTAGAAGAATAGTTTAGAATACAGTGGTGAAGATGTAACCGGACTGCATTTCATCTTAGGGATAACACAGGTGAACGCAGGACAAAGTACCAGAGGGCATTAAAGGCCTGACATCTACTTTCAAAATATTATAGATAGTAGACAGTTAAAGTAGACCTGTCAGAAACATGGACAAATTGAGCGTACAATGAAAAAGCAACAATGTAACCAGTTCCTTTTAACAAAACATCACATCTAGGGATACAAATAGGGAGGGTAATAGACACGTACTTAGACACTATAACATTACAGGAGGACCTGGATAAAATAGGGGAGTGGGCATTAATGTGGCAGATGAGGTTTAATGTCGATAAATGCAAAGTAATGCACTTTGGAATTAAAAATAAACAAATGGGTTATACAATTATGGGTATGCCGCTGGGGAAGTCAGAAATGGAGAAGGATTTGGGGGTCATTGTAGACCACAAACTGAAAGGTAGTTTGCAGTGCCAGGCTGCTGTAAACAAAGCTAGCAGGGTCTTGTCCTGTATTAAAAAGGGGATGTATTGCAGGGACAAGTCTATAATTTTGCCACTTTATAGATCATTGGTTCGACCTCATCTGGAGTACGCGGTCCAGTTCTGGTCACCAGTACTAAGAAAAGATGTCCTTGAGTTGGAAAAAGTCCAGCGAAGGGCAACCAAACTAATTAGGGGTATGGAGGACCAGAGCTACGAGACGAGGCTACTAAATTTAAACATGTTCACATTAGAGGTGAGGAGATTAAGGGGGGATATGATTTCCATGTACAAAATGTTTAATGGTGGTAGCAACATTAGCGATAAACTGTTTAAAATTAACTCCGTTACAAAAACTAGAGGCCATCACCTAAAATTGATGGAAAAAAAATTCCAGCACAAGGGGCGAAGGGGGTTCTTCACAGTAAGATCAGTTAGGGTCTGGAACTCACTGCCACAGACAGTGATTTCAGCAAATAATGTGGAATTGTTCAAGAAACTTTTGGACGATTTCTTAAGGGACCGTAATATACAGGGGTACGGGTACTCCTAGAATGAGATCCTAATAGGTTGGACTTGATGGACTAATGTCTTTATTCAACCTCAAATACTATGTAACTATGTAACTATGTAACATTTAAGAGGTTTAATTTTCCCGAACTTACGGTGAAAAATTGAAGATTTTTAGTGCCATTTTTGCGAAACCCGTTGGAGTCAATAGGGATGGTGAAATTAAGGCTCTTTCCTGATTTTCAAGGATACAGTGGTTGAGTGTTCTCACTATTTTGTGAATTGTTTCCAGAAAGAAAACAAAAATAAATGTAAAATATATTTTTTTTTTATTATGCTTGCCCCTACTCATGGCAGAACAATATATAGATCCAGAAATATAGGAAATGTGTGCAAATCTCACGTTTTTCTGTAAGACAAACTTGGCCACACCACTTCCCACCTTGTGAGCTTTCCTATTGGTCAGTCAATTCACTAATCTTTTTAAAGGAACAGGACGGGGTTAAGCTTGACTTTTACAGGAAGTCAATAATATGCATAAAAAATTCAGCTACCTAAATCTCTGGATCTGTGAAATGTGTTTTCTCATCCATTGAGGGACACAGGAAGTCTTAAATCTTCAGGGTTTACTGTTGGCCTCTTACTCTTTAAGACCTTTGTACAAGGGGTTCTCTATGTGGATCCACCAATAATTCCACAGTGAATATGTGGGATCTTAAATCTAGTACTCTCCGTACGCCATAAACTGCTGTTTGATTCCATTTGAGACATTCCTCCTTCTATTTTCACACATAAATCTTACAAAGAACCCATTTCGGTCTTGCTTAGGGACAAATTGGTGTGGAGGCCCAGGACTTCCATCTTGCCTAAGGTAGCTTCTGTGTTTTACCTCAACCAGAACATTGTTCTTTTCTCCTTCTGTCCAGCTCTGGTTCATCAAAAGGAAATGTCCCTCCATCGTGTGGCTGTGTTTCAGGCTGTACAAGTTTATATCTCAGCCACTGCTCTTCTAAGAAAGAAGGGGAATCCAGATTCTCATCCCCCCCATTTTTAGGTGGCTCAGGCAGACCATCATTGAAGCTTATGTTCCCAAGGATGTGGTTTCCCCCTTTGCTGTTAACCTTCCCTCTGCTAGATCTGTGAGAGCCTTTGGAATCAGGCAACTGTATTCCCAGATTTGTAAGACTGCCTCCTGGTCTTCTGTTCTCTTCATTCTGTGAGGTCTACCAGGTGAATGTTTCACCCTCACCTGATGCCAGCTTTAGCTGTGAGGTCCTTCAGGTGACTCTTTGAGCTGTAGGCAATCACCAGTTTCTGTTGTTCTGTTTGTGATTTTTTGGGGGGGGAGATTTCCCACCTCTTAGATGGTCTTTTGTTTCAACATCCTGAAGATTTAATACCTTCTGTTTTCCTCAATGGATGAGAAAGAAAATAGGATCTTTGTACTCCCCGTAAAATGCTTTTCTTGGAATACGTTGAAGGACACAGTTCCCATCACAGTTCCCATCCCTCTATGTTATATTCAAACTCTCTGCATAACTGAGGCTGGTAGTAGCGGGGTTCCTCATGGGCTGGCCTACAGGCTTTTTTAGCTTGCCAGTGGCCAATCCTCCTGTAGGTGGGCAACATACCCCAAAGATTTAAGACATCCCATGTTTCTCAATGGACTTTACGGTGAGTACAAAAAAACATTTCCTTTTTTTTAACAAAAGGGCATAGCAGTTTTCTATTGTGTTAGTTAGGTGGCTAAGGTTCAGGCCAGAGCAATTTAAACTGAACAAATGATGAAGAAAAAGGTTAAATTGCAGTCAGACATGAAGAATGATGCAAATGTAATAGTACCTGAAATATTGTTCTTTTTATACTGGAATTTAAATAAATGGAATAAGCCCAGAAGTGCGGTGAGTCTTCTCTGGCCTTTGGTTTTCACCACCTACATACATTGCATGGGCAGAATCCATCTACTTAAAAATCTTTACACAAGAATATGCAACCTAATGCCAACGTGAGAAGGAGTGCTCACCAGACTCTGCCCTGCTCCTCTTCACCTCTGGAGAAAACATTGACCTTTGGTTGGAAAAATCTAACTTTATGGACTCCACTACTAATACAGCAAAATACTTTCTGGTGCCTATAGTCATCACTCCGAATACTACCAGTTTCTTGTTGAAAATCCCACTACTTGGGCACTTGTTCCTGTTTTCCTGCTATTCCACAATGCAGGGAAAGGTATTAGAAGTGGTGCCTATAGTCCCCACTTTGGCTGCTACAAGTGTACAAGTTGATTTCAGTATGTTCTGGTATGGTACACCTTTGCTTGCTCTCCCACAATGCTGAGAAAGACGATCTTTGCAAAAATCCTTAACGGGGCAGTGACAGTGATGAGAGCAGTGGACAGGAATGGGCAGAGTAGAGTCATCACTGTACCTACTGTACAGCACAAGTTGGGTTTAATGGGTTTTGTTTTAGTATAGGTCTACTTTAAAACACGAGATCTGTAAGCAGCAAGGATAAATATGACAACAAATTGTTACAATTTGTCATATTATTTGCTGAATTAGTGCAGGTCTTAGCAAAGTAAAAAAAACACATTCTCTGCAATACATGTTTTGTCTCTTTAAAAACACTGCAAGCAGTGGAATAATAACAGCCATAGAACCCACACAGCTGTTATGGGGAAGAAGGGGGGCCCCATTCAGGAGGCTGTTAAGGAACACTAAACTATGACGTTTCCAGTATAGAAGGGCTGAAGTCAGATCTCAGGATGGTGGCTAGTCACAGATCTCCCTGTAATAGGAATTTTTTGCTCAGCTGTCTTGGTGTAGATTTAGGCCTGGTTCACACCTGGGCGTTTTACAGCGTGTTCCTACGCTCTGTAAAAAGCTCAACATGTGAAAACCAATGATTGCCTATGGGCATGGTTCCCACCTGGGCGTCTTACAACGCGTAGGAACGCGCTGCAAAGCGCCCTACGCCCAAAGAAGTACAGGAGCTTCTTTGGGGGGTATTTGCCGCGCGTATCCATTGGGATACAGCCATGTAGCCCTCGCGAATCATGGTAAAAACGCGCGACCCGAAACGCGCGACAAACGCGCATATTCGATACACCTAGGTGTGAACCCAGCCTTAGTGCCCGCAGAAATTATCCTACAAAACTGAAATTGTAACATTGTATGCCAAATGCTGAAATCCCACAGTCTCACCTTAGGGCTCAGTCACACTACATGCAGTGCGTTCCGGCCCGATTTTGCCAGAACGCACTGCCTTGCATTGCGGCCGGCTCACTTTTTAGTGGGGTAGGAGGGGGGCGAGGCGGGCCATTCAAGTTAATGTGCCTGCGGTCCGAACCTGTGCGGTGCAATCAAAATGCTACAAGCACTATTTTGATTGCACCGCACAGGGCCGGACCGCAGGCACAATGTGACTTGCGATCCCGCGCAGCGGATCGCATTGCGGCCGTAAGGCGTGGCTACGGCGCCATTCACTTGAATGGCCCGCTGCGCCCCCTCCTACCCCACTAAAAAGTGAGCCGGCCGCAATGCGAGGCAGTGCTTTCCTGGCCAAAATCAGGCCAGAACGCACTGCATGTAGTGTGACTGAGCCCTTAGCTAAAACCTTAAGGACAGCTGAGGTTTATTGTTCTAGGTAAAAGAAATTGTAGTTCTAAGGTAAAAAAAATTGTGCTATGGGGCCCCTCGATTTGTAGTTAGGCCCCTGCCTGCAAGCAGAGAAAAATACCTGTCGATCTTCCAGAAGTCCAGCAAACTTCCTCTATTGAGTAGTCATGTGCGGGGACACCAAGTTCACCCAAG